TGTTGAAACCCGAGTTAGTAAAGTTAACTCTAGAGTTTCAAGTGAACTCGGCCCGAAAGTCAGGTTTAGGAATTTTTGTCAAATGTTCGGACTCCTTGGATTTTTTCCTACGATATAGGGTAACATATTTTGCCCCATAACACTCACTTCTATTTTCATATAAGACTTCAATAGCTCATAAAATGGTCATTACTAGAATTTAAGCAGATTCTAGATTTTTTTTCTTACGATTTGAGACCCTATTAATGCCAACGCTAAATATAAGGTAAAAGTCTGAGTCAGCCTTTTCCCGCCATTTAAAAAAAAAATCAAATATCTCAAAAAGGAATTCCATAACCTATCAATATTTTTAGCTTATTTTTTCCTTAACTAATACTCCTCTGACTTATAATATCAATTTCAAATTCTAGATTTTTTTTAATTTCATCTAAGTACATCCTTAAGTGAACAAATACAAATAAGCTTAATGTTTTAAGGTCTCATTGACTATAATTAACCTAAAACGATGTAGACACCAGTTATTCATATCTAAAAAAATTATCGCACATACCAAAGGAGCTCGTTATAGGGGAAACGGTAGTATTTATCCCTCCATAGGCGACAATACTTACATTTTCTAAATTCCCCACTTTTTATAGTAAAAGCCTGAACATATAGAATAACCATACATTGTCTAGAAATATAAATTTTATTTGTACAAGGCTTAGAAACATGTAGAAAGCGAGGCTGTGCCGACCATTTCTACCTGTTTTGGGCCGAGTACAAATAAAATGTATATTTCGAGACAATGCATGGTTATTCTTTATATATATTGCAACTCCTATAACTGTTCCAAATGAAATATTTAGGGTTAAAAATATCATTTTTTTTAATTTGGAGCGAACGACGTAGAATTTCAGCGAACCTGTATGTTTTATTGACGTCATAAGTAAAACTCTACGGAAACGCATTGTAAACGTCATAAACAAGGTGATATACGGTCAGTGACCAGGACTGTATATCACAAATGAATATACGGTCAATGCAATTTGACGGCGCAAATAGCACAGCTGCAGTATATAATACAGTTATGTGTGATATTAGTACTCTATCATTCCTTAGCTAACTGAAAAAATATACTTGAGATTCTGGATGGGGTTCGGAGAAAAGTGAATATTGTGTTATATATTATATAAATACATATATATAGAAAAGGGAGTATTGACCACAAAATAAATGAAAAAATAATAGAGAAAAAATTTTCAATATTAAAGAATACAAAAATAAGGGACCCCCCCCTTTTTTTGCCTTCCCCCTTCCAAACCAGCATAGGTATATTGAAACAAAATCATGTCATACCACTTGAAGTATACCTCGAACTTCGTTAATGTTCAATGGTAAAAGAGTAAGAGCAAAAGACAGTATTTCAATTTTCTTATATCATATACATTCAGCACTGTAGTGAAAAAAAAATTTACACAAATACATTTTATTCATTTTTTCCAAACATTCAACAGTTTTGAAAGTTAAAAACACCATTCTTTATGTGTCTCAAACTGTATTATACCTCTTTTACTTAAACGTTTGATGTAAATTTCAATGTATGCGATTCGTGTTTCTAAAAAAAGGTCGTCCATACCAAAAGTAGAGGAAAACAAATACCGAAAAAAAACGTTGGGTAGCAAGCTTAGTAATCTTAATTAGAAACTTCAACTCATCAGAATTCAACTATCAATTTAATTTGCATTTGAAACAAGGGCATCGGTTGCCGAGTGGTCTAAGTAGTAGAACTACAGTATCACAAGCTTGTCAACACTTGGGTTGTTAAGTTCCAATCTCGCACGTGGCAGATGCGCTGGACTGCAATCTGAATTGACTAGGATTGTCAGTTATCCTACCGCCGGCTTCCTCTAATCAATAAAAACTTACCGCAACGAAAAAGCACAATAGTGCTGAATGTTGCGTTCAACGCCAATCAATCAAACCATTTGTAACACGGCACACACTGGCCATGATTTGGAAATATACATTTTCACAATAACATTCAAACTAGTACATGTAACTGTTATAATAACTCTCTTCAGTAGTAAGGTTTAAATTATGTAAAAAAAACTTTTAGTCATAAAGTTTCTTAAACAATTTATCTAGATCCTTAATCAAAGTATAAAATTACTAGTATGGATTTAATCAATACAAGAACTACGGCAGCCATTCATTTACTCCTTTGCTACTTTAAGAAATTGTTATTGGTCAGCTTAAAAGCAAGACGAACAACACGTCGGGTGTCATTAGGGGTACACGTCAGTTATGCTGGCCTTTTTGGAATATCTTAATTCATCCCGATTTTCCCTTAGGCTGGTCTTGTTCAATCCATTGTTGCGTATGGAGTGTTTTCTTTTTGCTTGTCATTTCGTCTTTTTTTTTGTCCTTTTTAGTCCATGATGCTGTCGAGTTTTGTTTGACGTATCCCTTGGTATAGTTTCCCTATTTGTACCTAAGATGCTGTATTTTCTTGTCTTTTTCCTCTCTGATTTAGCGCTCGTCGTTTAACGTGACTTCATATTTGATACAGCAATTTTGATGTGAGAATTTTCTTATTACATATACTAGAGACAATACCGTGATATTTCGCTGCTACATGTAATAACATAAACGGTACCATTTTTTCTGCACCAGATGCGCATTTCGACAATCAATGTCTCGTCTGTGATGCCCGAGGCCAAAATATTTGAAAATCCAAAGTTTATTAAAAAGATGAAGAGCCAGAAATCAAAATGGACAAAAAAAGTATAGCCAAAGCCGGACAATTGCTTGAAACGGTGTTCTTCTTGTTAAAATTAATTGGTTCACTTGATTCGTCATTAATATCTACATTACTTTATTTAACGCCTAGTATTGTTATTTTTCATAAAAGATAAACAAAGAGCAACAACTCCAACTGAACAACAAGGTAATAAGGAAAAAGCTTAACAAATCCTTCATATTTTTTTTTTTAAATAATATATAATGATCCTTCATCAAAGTATACAATTACTAGTCTAATATGGATTTAATCGATATCAGCGGAGTAGTCAGTACTTCTGACATCATTTATAACAAACCTTTCTATAATTGTCCGTTGAAATAAATTTTGAAGCTAACGAAAAGCTAAGAAACGAAGGTTTCAACTCCCTCAGGCAAAGTTTACCTTAGATTGATACGGCTATTTGTTTGGGTCACTTTTGGTCATATAGCTCTTCAACTATTTCGGTTCTTATACATCCTAGGCTTTCAAATATTCGGCTTCGGGTGTTCCTGATAAAGGTAAATCCAGAAAATCGCTTTTCATTTTTTAGAATATTTTTTTATCAATATTCTACGTTTTAATTTTTGACATTATTCTGAAAAAGAGCAGACGACTATTATTTTGTTATTTCATTCTAAAAATTATGATTTGCAATATAATATACATTTCATTTCCTCTTATTTTCTTTACCGGTGATTGCTCTATTATTACAATTCTTATTTGGCAATTATAACATGTCAATCCATGAATACAAAAATGTAGATTCGCTCTTCTTGATTGAATGTGCCTTTTAACATGTTTAATGAGCTTTTCGGAAAGCTAGTAATGGCATCAATTATTTTTAGTATAAATATAAAATTATCGCCTGTCAACAGCAGTTCTATACAAATGGATAGGATATCTTTTGACAGTCTTAAAATGGTGCTGTTAATGACTTTCCCTAAGTGTGCATGTGACATACTGTCACTCAAAAATGACAGATGAATTCATGTTGAACAAAAGTGCTGTATTTACATTATTCCACGATAAAGACAGACGAATAATAAAAGAAAAGACAAATTATCAGAACGTTTCCTAAATTTAATGCCCGAACAAGTGTTATTATTGGTGAGGATTTTGTTGTACGTCATAAGGAGATATGCTCTTTATGTTTTTTCCATAGTGAATGGATCAGAAATTATTTTTTTTTAAACTCATTGGCTAATTAGCGTTTCAAATGCAAGCACGTGGAACGCGATATATATATACTTCAACCATTTCACAATTTCAATGCTATCAATCAGCTATTACAATTACCGCAATCGATTGGTTGTGGACGTTTCTCTGAAGAAGAAAATTGGGGGGAAAAAAGATAAACGATATCAAGGAAACATCACAAGTCAAAACAGAAAAAAAAACCAGACAACACCATAACCGACAAGAACACGACAAAAGACAATCGACAGTCAACATAATGTCGCACAAAGACTGAGCAACAAGAACAACACCGATAACTGTGGGTGAACTTCTTCTCCGACAGATTGATAGATCCTGCTCTACTATTAGCACCCGTCGTGTTCCTCACTTCAAGTAGAAATTGGGTTTAAGTATCACTTACCGAATATTGTTACGTTTTGTTCATTATAGCACAATGGTGGTCACATACGCTAGATATTCATCGACATAATGGTGGTCACATACGCTAGATATTCATCGACATAATGGTGGTCACATACGCTAGATATTCATCGACATAATGGTGGTCACATACGCTAGATATTCATCGACATAATGGTGGTCACATACGTTAGATATTCATCGACATAATGGTGGTCACATACGCTAGATATTCATCGACATAATGTTGGTCACATACGCTACATATTCATCGACATAATGGTGGCCACATACGCAAGATATTCATCGACATGCTGGTGGTCAAATACTCTACATATTCATCGACATAATGGTGGTCACATACGCTAGATATTCATCGACATAATGGTGGTCACATACGCTAGACATTCATCAACAACATGGCTATAAAGGGTTGGTAATATCATTGACAAGACAATATCCTTATAACAGAGATTACAGAAAAAAAAATGATAGTATTCAAATAATGTTTATTTAATACCAAGTCGGACTACGGTAAACAAATTATCATGTGACTTTCAAAACAATCATCAACAAGTACATTGGATTAATATTTCGAACAATAACTTTGTGCATAAACTCAACATTTAATTACGGTAGACATTGTTTATGTTGATTGGTTATGTCTTTGTGAATATTGCATTATTATGGGCTTTCGTGGTTGTCAAAGTGTTTTATATCACTGGATGTAAGCTCCTTTTGGAGGTTTCGGTACTTCTTCAGGGTCAAGGCCGTTTTGCTTCATCTCGATGGCAATTTCAAATAAATAATCATAACACTTGCACCTGAAATTAATAAAAATATAAACATAAATTTATTAAAGAGAAACGAAAAAGGGCATGCTTGAATTGTTGTACATTTGTCATTTTGGGGCCTTTTATAGCTGACTATGCGGTATGGGCTGTGCTCATTGTTGTGGCCGTACGGTAACCAATTGTTGTTTATTTCTGTGTCATTTTGGTCTCTTATGGAGAGTTGTCTCATCGGCAATCATACCACATCTTCTTTTTATATGATATTGTCACAGGAAAAATGGGACACCAATAATACATCGACTTGGGATGAGGAATAAGTCACCATAAACCCATAAACTTGTCGTGGTAATGCGTGTGGGCCATTTCTGCATTAAATGAGTCGTCCAATTTGTATATACTTTATTATATAATCTGCAGCGGTGACTTTAGTCTGCCGCCTCCCCGATTGTAATAATGACCAGTGACTCACTCGAAAAGTGAAATTGTATTAATATATATATGGTTAGTATTGCCGCGCTTTGAGCTCATGCATAACTCATGCTATTTGAATATAAATATATATCATTTAAATAATAATAAAGAATCGCTTTACCTTTCTATTGTACTAATTTAAATATTCGGTACGCAAAGCAAAACATAGCGTACAAAGCTATAGTTTATTTCAAAATAAGCAGCGCAAAACTATTTTCGTCAATCGTCAAGAATCAAGAATATGAAATATGAATATGATATGAATGGGAAACATACAACACTGAAAACACAAATAATATGAAATGCTTTATAATGAACAAAATGGATAAATATATCCGGTGACATACACCCCCTCCTACCAAAAAGTTTCGTCTCGAAACTATATCGAAACTAATATATCAAACCTTATACAATAATATATGACACTTTTGAAATTTGGGCAACCTAGATGAGCATGTGGCAAACGCCTCTATACCATATAGCAATGACCAAAATTCAAGACACTTCAATAGAATTCACAAACAAATAACAAAAAAAAATATATCAAAAAGTCAAATAAAATTAAAAAAATCTTCCCTCATTGCTTTGAATTGCCGTTGACAAACGATCAATCCAAATCCTTGCCAAATCAAATGTAGGCTGTAATAATCTGTAACAGTTATACAATTTCCCACTCTTACATTTATGTACAGGAGAATGAAAAAATGGAGTGATAACATGATTTGTATGATTAAATTCTATAATAAAATTATTTACATCCTGTATAATAGAGTTAAGTTCTAGCTGCATCCCATCGTATGCATTCTCATACTTTAAATGACTTGTTTTTCCAATAGACAATCTATGTAAATTCCAAAGACAGAAACTCATAGTTGTAATAGTAGCAAATACTACCTTACAATTTATACTTTTTAATTTAGTTTCTGTATTTACTATAGCATTCTTTAGTCTCAATGCATGATCAAAACAACCATTGTCAGTTCTTTTAAGAAATGATTCCTCATAATTTGATCTACGATTCCTTTCTAAAGAACAAATATCCGGTATTCCAGCTATGAAATACACGATATTCAGACCGTCTATATCTTTAAGATCATCATATGCATATTTGCACAAAGTTTCCAATTTCCCTCCAGGCACTACACGTAACGTTTTACAACGAACTTTGCCTTCTAGAACTTTTCCTCTACTAGACGTGTAAATATATGTATGCTGATTCATTTCTGTGAAACAAACAAAAATGAAACTAAATAGATATAAAACTAAATTCCAAATATCAATAAAAAAATATTCAAAAAGTTAAAACATTAAAATACTAGTATCTAACATAATCTTGAAAACGGACTGGCGGTTTCACTTGTCTACTCGACCGCCGCACTTGAATTTCAGACTCTGGTTGGACATAATCTTAAGCGCTCGGCGCATGACTATCGGATAAGCTTGACGCTTGATTATCAGAACTGGTTTCTGATTCACTACTGACGGGGACTGGGTTGCTAAACTCAGATACACCTAAAATACTTTACCTCTGACCATCAGATTGTTCAATACTACTGTCAGGACTACTAGATCGCTGACTTACTTCATCTAGGTTCAAAATGCCCGGATGAAGTTCATCCGCTAAAGGGTTAAGAGGCGGTACTATATCTACTCGACGCCTCGGGCATTCGTGAACTAAAAACTCTTCTTCTGAATCAGAATCAGAATTATCAGATGAAGCATTTGAACCAACTTGGTCGTCAGTAGTGATTTCGTCCACTGTTTTATCAGAGTCTAAAACTTTGTCTACTAATACAGACGGACAATCTTTCTTCTTTGAAACTACATTTCTCTTACCTTGAGAGTTATCAATACACTAAGGGTTTAAAATGGGAATTGAAGTAATGGGAAGTAACATATTCCTATGTACTGTCTTGCGGCCTCGACCGTGTTCCTGTCTGATGATATAAACCGGTATATCAGAGTCGGGTTTTGAAACTACAACATAAGGTTGTTCACCCCACTTATTTTCTAATTTATGCTTCCCTCTAGACGCTACATTTTTAAGTAGAACTCTATCACCAGGCTCCAGTACTGACTGTCTGACTTTCAAATCATATCGCGTTTTATGACGTCTCCCAGTCCTTTCGGCTGATTTTTCAGCTGTTTTGTAGGCAAACTGCAGTCGTTTTTTCAAGTCACTCACGTATGCAGAGTGATCTTTTGTAACAGACTGGTTTGGGTTACCTATAAAAGCATCAATAGCAAGCCGCGGGTGCCAACCAAACATCAGATAATGTGGGCTGTATCCAGTTGTATCGTGTTTTGTTGCATTATAGGCATGTACTAACGGCGCAACATACACTTTCCAATTGGATTTCTTTTCATCATCAAGAGTACCCAACATGTTTAATAAAGTCTGGTTAAAACGCTCGCACTGACCATTCCCTTGCGGGTGATACGGAGTAGTGCGAGATTTTTTTATGCCTGCTAATCTACACAGTTCCTGGATAACCTTACCCTCAAAATTTCGTCCCTGATCACTGTGGAATCGAGATGGAAAAGAATAGTGCAGAATAAAATTTTCCCATAATGCTTTAGCTGTAGTTTTAGTGGACTGATTTTTCGTAGGTATAGCCTGAGCGTACCTCGTAAAATGATCCGTAATGACCAAAATATTCTCATATCCTCCCTTTGACTGCTCAAGAGTTAGAAAATCTATACAAATGAGCTCCAAAGGGTAGGAAGAACATATATTTACCAATGATGCAGAATTCCTGCACTTCGACTTTCTGAGTATGCAGTTCTGACAGTTCGAAACTTTCCTCTCTACGTCTCTATCAATACCTGGCCAAAAATATCTTGATTTCACAAGTGATAAAGTACGATCGCGCCCCTGGTGACCTACATCGTCGTGCAGAGCAGTCAGTACTAGTTCATGGTAAATAGAAGGTAATACTAGTTGAAACACAGCTTCATGATTAATGTAGCTTTTCCTATATAAAACCTTATCTTTCAGAGACAGTTTTTCCCATTCTCTCAATAATCTTCGGACAAGATCCGTCTCATGAGACATCTGACGCTTAGTGAGTCTATGACCGGTTGTAACTAAATCAATAACTCTACTTATGCATGAATCTTGTCTCTGCTCATACATCCAATCTATATCAGCGAAATTGGATGTCGGTCATAATCTCACTATCGCTGTCTATAAACTGAATATCATGTGACAAACATATAGTTTCAATAGCAGGGTTTGTATCTGGAGTTAATACTATAGATTTACAAATAGCCTGAACTACGTCACTTAAAACTTCTTTACAATCGGACGGAAGTCTAGAAAGAGCGTCAGCGTCAATATTTGACTTGCCTGTTCTATACACAATGCTGAAATCATAGTTTGACAATGCAGCAACCCATCTATGGCCGGTAGCATCTAATTTAGCTTTACCGAGAACGTACGTAAGTGGATTATTATCCGTTCTAATAGTAAATTTGCTACCAAAGAGATAATCATGAAACTTATCAGTAACAGCCCATTTAAGCGCCAAAAATTCTCTTTTATGGGCTGGATATAATTTCTCTGGGCCACGTAGGCTACGACTAGCGAAAGCTATCACCCGTTCTTTACCCTCCTGTTCTTGATACAAGACGGCACCTAAACCGGTACCACTTGCATCAACGTTTACAATGAAAGGTAATGAAAAATCTGCATATGCAAGAACTGGTGGGTTTGTCAACTTTTCAATAATCAGATCAACAGCATTCTGTTCCTCGGGACCCCATTTCCAAGGACTAGGCTTACTAGACTTCTTCCGTTTAGACCCAAGGCAGTTTTCTTGTTCGTAGGGTGTCCATTTAGAGGCTTTGCAATCTTAGCATAGTCTCTAATGAATTTCCTGTAATAGGAAGTGAAACCTATAAACCTACGAAGGTCCTTAATGTTCTTTATAGCTGGCCAATTTTGAACTGCTATAACTTTCTCTGGGTCGGTTTTGATACCATCGGCGGACACTATAACACCAAGATATTTAATCTCCTTCTTAAAAAATTCACACTTGCTACCTTTTAGTTTTAAGCCGTGGTGTTTAAGACGACTAAAACAGACTCAAGCCTAGCAAAATGGTCATCTATGCTACGTGAAAACACCACAATATCATCTAAAAATACCAAGCATTCACGTAAATGAGCTTCTCCCGTGCATCTTTCCATCAATCTCTGAAACGATGCTCCTGCGTTTGTCAGACCAAATGGGAGCCTATTAAACTCATAGAACCCCAAAGGACCTAACGAAAACGCGGTCTTATGCTTGTCTGACTCTTTAATGCCCATTTGCCAATATGCCGACCGAAGGTCCAGTCGTGTAAAGTATTTAGCCCCAGCTAGACAATCAATTGTCTCGTCAATGCGAGGCAAAGAATAACTGTCACGAATTGTCTTCTTATTTAAAGATCTTAAATCTAAACAGAACCTCAGAGAACTGTCCTTCTTCCGAACGAGAACAGCGTTACTAGCGTAAGGACTGTTTGACTCCCTTATACAGCCCGCATCCAACATTTCACGTACATGTTCTCTTACCT